CACGGTGCGAAGTCGGCGTGAAAACAGAACACAGCATCCCATCACCGATAAGCCCAAAGGACCGCGTCTAAACGGACTTCAGGGTTCTTGTGGGGCTTGGGCTGCTGTTGGAAGACCCTTTTCCGTCTCGCAAAGATCCGGAAAGCGGATGTTCCGCTTAGGTTTTCGGGTGTAGGCTATTGACTTAGGAGCCCGAGGCACCAAACTCCTTGTCCTGAGGCGTCAGGCCAAGACTTGGGAACAGAAGCCACAACTTCGCCCCGATGCTGGCAAGTTTTCACGTTTAGGGACACCTCGACAGCTGGGTCCGTCCGATTTAGAGTTGGCCAGCATACTACACATTTTGAAGATCCCAGCAACCTCTCGAATCCGGAGGCTCCGGCTGGTAGATTCCGAATTCCCGGCAGGTCTCCTATAGCAAGATACATTCTGGAGCTCAAACCCGAGACTTCTCGGCTGCGTGCACCTCCTGAACTACTCACAAAAAATCGACAATCTGCTGCTTGATGATGGTCTGCGGATGTTTACTCGGTCGCGTGCACTTCGGCCGCACTGCCGATAGTCACTGCGAGTGCAGATGATACTGCTATGTTTGAGCTTCACACAGTACTCTAAGAAAAGTTTTGTGAATATGGCCTTCAAGTTAATAAGCAGATCTTAGGCCTCAGGTACGTAATGCTGAACTCCGTGCCACATGCGTTCGAGACAGATTGTAATCCGATCACTGACAGCAACAGCTCGAGTCTCTGAGCCAAGGACCATGCCATCTTCTCTCAAGTCTGCTACCGTCTGTAACGCAACCTGTGCCAGGCCATGACACAGGGCTCGTGCAGTGCGCCCAGTATCGCGCTGTCGGTAATGGTGCAAGCAGGCCGATGAAGATAATGAGTGATACCGGCAGTATGAAGTATTTCGTGACAGTGGTCCCATGCTAGTGTTGGTTTGTATGTATGCAAGTATGCGCGTAATATTCGTCTATATACCTGCATACACATGAGCATATGCACTTGTGTATTCAAAATTGTACAGATATCGACGTCAACATCTATATCCCTACAATCTACACCCACTTCTACATATATGTCACTCTATACACCGGCATACGTCTAGCACTAGTGCTCGTCATGACATAATATTACCACTAACAGTCGCGAAGCATTCAACACCGTCTGCACGCTCGTTCATCTTCACCGACACCAACACCACTACTCACTACATACTGCCACTAGTTACACCACGATCATGTGTACCATCATCCCCCAAAGCCATCATCGCCCCTCGTCATCATCATCAGTCATCACCGGCTTCGGCACCACGCCATCGCTATCAGGGGAATCAGCATCATCATCTTAGACTACACGGCCGCCGCGAAGATAATCCTCTTCTTTACCTTCTTCTCATTATTATTCATCATCTTCTTCTTCAACACGAGTGGCATCAGCCGCGTCATGACCATGATTGTCACAGTCAACTCATCTGGTCTTTCTTAACATCTTCGTGTTCATGCGAATGATGTGGGCCCAAATGTTCTATACTCATGACAGCCACCATCAACATCGTCACTTCCTTGCCACCATCATCATCATCGTCACAAATCATCACCGTTTCTTTTGCATTAGCATCCAGACAGCCATCCAGGCACTTGCGCTGCCGGCAGTTTATAAATCGACGTTTCCGGAAATCAAGTTAGCCCAGGGTACAGCCCATTGGCAGGCAGTTAGTTATACCGGATGACGGCACTCCACATGGGTGGGGAACGGCATCTGCTCTCGCACATCGACACTTCCAAGTTTTCAGGGCTTGACGCCCTGAGTCGTAGCAAATAAAGCGGTTCGGCCAAGGGATGTGGGAAGCTCAAAGCAGGGGATTTTATTGTATGACTCAGTATGAGACCTCGAGGAATCCGCGAACGGCTCACACCCTGTGGCATCCAGCCCTCAACCCGTCAACGGAACCACGGGCCTGCCAGCGCTTCCGCCGTGCTGCCGAGGCGGCTGCACCACGTGCGACGATGTCGGTGCGAACGCCCCGAAGGCGGAGGAACCGTAGAAGGCTGCGGCGGGGGAAGGTTGGTGGTTACGGCTCGTGTTTGAGGATGTGTTGGGTTTACAATAAGTTTCTACAGGAGTAGGCAATCAAGCTTTTATGCAGGGTGCCCGCAGGACTGAGACTGACAAATGAAGACTCAAAGATGGTGCGAGGCTTAGGTTTCTGAGATTGGTGTTCTGAGTCTAAGGGCCCCGGTTCATTCTTGCCAACTAGTGGGTGCTGTGGATATGGTGGCCCTCTTGAGTCGAAACTGAAGCCCGAAGCACCTACCCCGAAGTACAGACTCGACCCTCAAACCAAAGGTATCGCCAGCACATGGAAAGCAACAGTGCCCCAAAAGCTGTTATACTCTTACACCCCATATATAAACCCTATCCGGCCCTATCCACCTGAAGCCCAGCAAAAAAACCTCCTTAACCCTACTTTTGCCCCGCTCTGCCCTCCCTTCGTAAGGTCCGGTTTAGTGGGCCGGGCCTCAATGCTTGAGCCCAGACGAGGGGCGACACCGCCCGCGTGGCCACACGAAGGTCCACCTCCTCCAGTCTTCCCATGGGCGATATGGGATTTTTCGACAGTTTGGCAGTATTTCTCCAAAAATCCTCAAACAGGCGTTCGGGCCCCGAGCACAGAACAATCCCTCCAAAAGCTGCAGCCCCCGATTCAGTCGGAGGGCCAGCCCGGCATTGAGAAGCAAAAGGATTGCCACAGCTGCTCTGCGCCAAAGCATGCATTGCAAAAAGGGGCTTCTGGAAGGGGTGTCTCGGCAGCTTTGACTATGTTTGTGCATAACCACGGCGGGCTAGAATGTAGGGTGGTTCAGAGATGCATTAGTTGCCGTAGACAAAAGATGCATTCGGGTTGGTAATCATGCGGACGTGAATTCTTCGGGAGGAGTAAGCCTCGTGTTCGAAGCTAGCTAAGGTGAGCAGCTACACGATTCTGTTTGCGGGTTTATCATGGAAATTTGAGCATCACCGCTCTAGACTTACCAAGGTTGGAGGCTGTAGGGTTCGGCTTCTGGACGATTTATGTATATCGGATTACCAGAGTTTTGCGTCGCGGATCAGATGGAGCCGTAAACAGCAACATTATGCACAAGACTGTTGCCGACATCTCTGAAAGTCGCCGTGGGTTTAAGCCGAGAGCAAACCCTGACCTGCTGGCTCTCCCTGCTGCCGACTGACCCATAATGATTGTGCCGACAAGTCTGCGTACTAACATGCGGCTACGGATCCAAGGGGAAAGCTGCATGGCTAGCCGAGTAATGCACATGATCAAGAGCTTCAGTCTAGATCTGCCTCCAACAGCAAGACCAACCGCACGTTCTGAAGCTGTGACATGCCAGACTAACTAATTCAAGTTCGCAGTTTCCCGTAACAAGCAAACGACAGGCTAGCTTGTCCTAGTGCCCTGCTGTAACTCCTGTCTATAGTCTACACGCAAATCACGCACTGTCACGCTCCTGTACAAGTGGCAAAGCCGCCATGCAGTCCCTCGAACATCTGATGTGTCGGTGGCAGCCTACAATCGACAACAACCTTCTCAGCCCTGTAAAGTCTTGTGCTACTCTTCGGGCACTGTCCAGCCCATGATCTGATCAGCATCAAGTAAAATCTATGGCAATCTGAGTTGGCGAAGACTCATTGGCAGCAAGCTGGTCTTGTTTGAGGTATTGCGCTTTCTCCCTAGGCATAGAAGAGGATAGCCTTGGAACCTCGATCCAGCGTGCGAGGACCGTTGGGGCAGGAGCTTCACCAGGCCTTTGCCTGATGCGCTACGTGGTGGCAGCATGGCCGGCGGCACAGTTGGGCAGATTTAAGCTATCATTCATTCGATTCTGAACAAGCTGGAAACTATTTTACATCATTGCACTCTCTCAAACTGTTCCCAAATTAGCGGGCAGTGGTTGTGCAAGTCGCCGTCGTTGCACGGATGTGGCCGTCGTGGAAAGAGCATGAAAGAGCAACAGTCATCACATTGCGACAACACCGTGACTAGTATGCGGTAGTTGTCGCAGTAGCAGCAGCAGCTGCAAGAGTCGTAGTAGTCGTGGTAGTGGTAGTGGCAGTGGCAGTGGGAGGAGGAGGAGTAGTAGTAGTAGTAGTAGTAGTAGTATTAGTAGTTAGTAGTTAGCAGTAGCAGTAGCAGTAGTAGTAGTAGTAGTAGTAGCAGTAGTAGTAGCAGCAGCAGTAGCAATAGCAGCAGTTGTTGTAGCTGTAGTATTGAAAGTGCTAGTGTGCTAGTGCGCGAGTAATCATAGCTGTGGTAGTATATTACAGTAGCGTAGTGGTAATGGCAGTGGTAGCGGGCAGCCAAAGCAGCGGCAGTAGCTGCAGGACACTGAGAAGTGGTGGTAACGGTAAGGGACGTGGACGTGGTATGTGGTGGCAGAGGTGCTGGCAGTAGCAGTAGTAGCAGTGGCCGCAGCAGCAGCAGTGGCAATAGCAGTAGCAGCAGCAGCAGCAGCAGCAGTAGCAGCAGCAGTAGCAGCAGCAGCAGCAGGAGCAGTAGCAGGAGCAGGAGCAGGGGCAGCAGTGGTTATAGTAGTAGTAGTAGTAGTACTACTACTACTACTACTACTACTACTACTACTAACTACTACGCGCTCTGGGCTTATTTGACGCTGTGTTTTCTGTACATGCATGTGCAGAAACACACGGCAGGAACGGCATTTGAGCATTCACGCAGTGTTGCGGACCGAGCGCCCTGACACGCTGGTTTTTTGGCTCGAGTGGAAGACATGCTTGAAGCGAAACATGCGTGCCGGCGTTGCGGTCAGTCGGGGCACCGTCAGGAGACGTGTCCGAGTATAGCTGGGCAAATCATCCGAGATCTGAAGGCTCAGCTTGGACAGCGTGCTGCCAGAGCAGGCAAGGAGCGTCGACTGCGGCGCGTGCGGCAAGCTGAAGGCACAGGCCAAGCAGTCGAACAGTCCCACTGCAGAGAACAAGATGCAGGGTTCCGAGGTGCGTCGTGGTGATGTCGAAGCACTACGTGACCTTTTGAAAGACCCTGCCCAATGTCTGGACAAGCTTGTGGCAGATGGCTTGTGCGAAACGCATAGACACTGCTCTCACTGCGGTTCCGGCGAAGTGCGGCGAAGCCAGTGCCAAAGAGGTGTACGGAAGGGACATTTCTTTGTGAGCTGCGCAAAATGCCACAAGTACACTAACTGCCTGTTCTACAGCAAGGTTGGACCACTTGATTCAGACTTGCTTGAAAGCAGAGTCCTTGGTAGGCAAGGATCGCAACCGCAAGATGATCTTGAAAGCAGATGCAGAAGTGGATGCGCACGCGTTGAAGCGCTTCTACGTCAGTGCGAAGAATCCAAATTTCCAGCACCTGCAGAGTCATCGAGGAGCTCTTCCTGGCACGAAAGTCTTCCAATGCCATGTTCGACTCGCGGGCGTGTGCATTCGGGGTGGCTCGCTTTGCCTGAGCATGCTGCCGGCCAAGCTGGTGAATCAGCGGGCCCCTCCTCCGCCTGAATCCTTGAAGGACGACATGCAGTGGTTCTGTTGGCTCTACAGTTGCAAAGAGTTGAAACCCAAATCAGAATTTAAGCGAAAGCCGACCCCAAGCCCTGAACCTTCTTCCTTTATTGTTAAATGGTAATCCCTAAACCCTATGGTTTGATTGTTACAAGGTAATCCCTAAACCCTATGGCTTTGGCTTCAAGAGGACGTCATGAATTGCCAGATCCTGAACAAGCTTGCAGCGGCTCCAAAATGTCAGAGGAAGCGTGTGCTGTACACAGACGGCAACACGGCTTACAAGCGCTGTGTGGAGATAGAGAAGAGGAAGCTGCGAGTTTTGTCAGCTAGTCACAGCAAGAAGGCCGGAATCTAAAGCAGTGTTCGTCTTTTGCGCGATTGATCCCATGAAGAATGTAAGCGCGCAACATCCCTGAACAGGAGTTCGTGCGGAAAGTCGGATACCAGTACGACTACCGCGGCCACTACCAGCACTGCTGCCACAACAATAATACTACTACTATTACTACTACTATTATTTTTGTTTTAGTAGTATTACTGCTGCTACTACTACTACTACTACTACTACTTATAGTACTAATACTAGTAGTAGTGCTAGTAGTCGTAGTAGTGGTGAGAAGCGGGTCCATCGTAGTGCTAGTTTGTACAATTAGGGCTGTGTAACCTCACGTATTCTGAGGGAAGTACTTGGAGGCGTAGAATTCAGAAGCCGTGCACCAATCCAACGCTGCAAAACTCCAGAAAAAGCCGAACGACATCGACAGCCTCACAGAAGTTGACTTTGAAAACTCTTGGCGACTGTGCCGCACGCCGCAAGGAGCCGCTGGATACCCTTCTGGCACCGTGCACAAGCCAATTGCTCGACATCTGAATGCCGGACATGGGACCGTGAAGGCCTGACCGTGCATGCTCTTGATCTACAACCATCGGAGGCTGAATCCAAAAGGAAACCACTGCCACTGCTATCCCTTTCAAGTCGGCTTCAGGCCCTTCGGCTGGAGAAAGCAGCGGTCACAAACGCGAACTTCTCGGAGGATTCCGACCTCCAGCAAACACATGGTCCTAACGGTGGTTCGAAAGTGGGTCGTAGAAGTATGTACTGTAACAAGATTTCTGGTCGGGCAAGTTCAAGGCAGCTTCAACTCAAAACAACACTGCCATTCCAGGCTGTGCTATGGGATTGCGACATGCAGCCTGCCCTCAACTGCTACAATCTTAAATCTTTCCAACCTTGTACCCAAATGTGCCACATTCTGCACGTGCAGCCGCAACGTACCAAAGCCTAGACTGAAATTCAAGAAGCCTATAGAGCGTGTAACATTGCGACAATGTGACACCCCAACAACCTGCTACGCCTGCGGCAAGGCTTGCTTGTGCTCGCTGCAACCCACACAAACCACGGCGCCACAGGAGTGACCTGGCGTGAAACTTCGATCTGTTGAACCTGCCTGTAACATGGACTGCATGGCTGCATTGAAGAGGCGGTCTCGGTTCACAACTGCAGAGTTTAATACACGACGATCCTATCGGATTGTAAAAACCTCGTTGGACCGAAGGAGCCCGTTGAATTTGTTAAACCGGCTTTAGACTTGACATGAACATGTCGCCGCGCGGGAAACATGCGTACACTTGCCGTTTGCGTTCATTTCAGGGTCTTAGAAGCGTCGCTGTGATTCAGGGTTTGGAGTTTGGAGCTCAGGGTTTGAGGTGTACAACTACCTTGTTTGCACCTCCGTCAAATCGAACCACAATAAACTTAGCTAATTACGTCGTCAGAGCAAGCAGCTGCCCCCGTCTGCCGCGCAGTCTTGTTCCGTTTCTGGGCCAGAAACGAATTGTTGTTTAAGCTTCGTTGCTTCATGGTCTAGGTAAGACTAGGCTCGTTCCTTTTCCCGAACGCCTCAGTCTCTTTCGAGCGGCTGGCTCCTGTTCCGAATTGTTTTGAGTATACTCTTTTGCAGGTGTTGGCTCTTGCTTCGGAATCGCTCGAGATCAATATCCGTATAATCTGGTTTGAGCGAATTGCTCCGGTTTCTCAAATGCTAAAATCGCTATAGTTACTATAGTTCGATTTGCCCCTGTTTCACGTAAGCTCGAGCGCATTGGGATGGTTTTTCTGTTTCACGAATGCTCTCATCCATTTTGAACGCGTGCTTCCGTATCTCAACTGTTCTGGCCCTTTTCGGGCATTTGCCTTTGGTACCCCGAATGCTTCAGTCGCTTTCGAGCAGATTGCTCCTGTTTCTCAAACACTCTCTTGTCAGACCGGAGCGATTTTCTCTGGCTTCCTGCATGCTCTAGCCTCTTTCGCGAAGTTTGTCCTGTTCCTCAATTACCGAAACGACTGGGTTGCCCCTGCTTCTCAAAATCTCTAATCCCTTTCGAGCGGTTGTTCCTGTTTCTCGTTTACCTGAAACTTGCTTTGAGCTATTTGCTCAATCTCTGTTTCGAGCGGCTTGCTCCAGATTCACCAATCCCTTTCGAACGAGTCGCTCCCCTTTCTGCTCCTGATCTGACTGTAACCCCTTCCGAGCGGTGTTCTACCTTTGTCGAATGCTTTAATCTTCCGGGTGCTCCGTCCCTGTTCCTTCTTGCTTTCTACGTCTCTGTTGAGCGGCTTGCACATGTCTCTGACTGGTTTCGAAGAGATCCTTTTCGCTTGCTATTCGTGCAGTTTGTTCCTGTTTCTCGAATGCCTTAATCTCCATTGTGCGCGCGTGCCCGGGGCTTGCTCAAATTTCTCAACAGCTCTGGGATGCTACGATGCTTTTCGAGCGGCTAGCTCTACTCCTTAATCATGCACCAGGCCCTAGGCACTTTCGAGCGGTTTGCTCCTGTGTCAGAAGTGCTCCAGCGCTGTTCGAGGGTTTCTGCTGCCGTACAACTGTTGTAGCCTCCTGTTTCACAAAGGCCTTGCTCCTGTTGAATGCTCTAGACTCTAGACTCTTTCGAGCGGCTTGTTCAATTTTCTACAATCTTTCGAGCTGTTTGCTTCACGGATACTGTACCTCTCAATCGAGCGGTGCGCTCCTGTTTCACAAATGCTTTGATGATTTGCGAGCTTTTGCTCCGTTTCACGAGTGCTCCCCTTGGTCTCTGTCGAGCGGTTTTGATGCTGCTCTAGTCCTTTGCGAGCGGTTTGAGCGGCCCTGCTTCATAAATGGCTTCGTGCTTTTCGGGCAGCTCGGTGCTGCTTCACTGTAAATGTATAACCCCATTCCCAGTGATTTACTCCCGTTTCTCAATCGCTGCTCCAGTCCTTTGCCGGGGGGGTCACACCAGTCATACGAATGCTGCAGTGCCTTTCGGGTTGTTTGCTCCTACTTCTTATCCGCGCTGGTCTCTTTCGAGCAGTTTGCTCCTGTTTCTAAATCGCTCTAGTCTGTCTCGACCTGTTCGCTCATGTTTCACCAGGACTCTAGTGCTTTTCGAGCAGCTCGTGCCTGTTTCAAGCGGTTTGCTCCCGATTCTCTTTTACTTTGTTTCGAGAGTACGGCTCCTGCTTCAGAAACGTTTTAATTTGGACCCCTGTTTCTGAAATGCTTTGGCCTTGCTCGGGCAGCTTTCCTCTACTTCTCAAACTTTCAAAAGATCTAGCCATCCAGCGTCCGTTGTGCGGCTTGCTCCTGCAACTCAACTGTTTTAGTGCGTTTTGCTCCTCTTTCATCAACGCGTTAAACTCTTTCGAGCGGTTTGCTCTGTTGGCCGATTGCTCTGGTCTCTTGGGGACGGCATGATCTTTCCTTTCAGCTGCTTGCAGTAACTCTGACGTGATTTGTTTCTGCTACAGGCCGTCCAATCCCGTTCCAGCGGTTTGCTCTTATTTGTAAATGCTCTAATAAATCCATTTCGAGGAGTATTTTCCCGATTCATGAAGGCTGTCTCTTTCGAGTGTTCTGTTCGCTCTTCAGGAATGCCTATGCACACCCTTCCAGAGGAACGTTGCCGTTTCAAAACCCTTCTAGTATCTTAGCTTCAGCTTGCTCCTGTCACTCAGATTCTCTCCAGTTCCCTTCCGGCGGATTGGAATCGTTTCTCACACGCGCTAATCTCTTTCACGGGGTTGGCTCCTGTTTCCCACAGGTGCATAGTCCCTTTCGAGCGGACTGCTCCGAGGATTGACTGCCCTAGTCTCTTATGAACCTCTTGCGTTTGTGTCTCTCAAACTTGCTCTAAGACTCTAGTGACTCTAGTCTCTTTCAACCGGTTGGCGACAATATCACCATCCTGTGGGCTCTTTCTCGCTGCTTGCTCCTTTTTCAAAACCGTCATCACTTTCGGGTGGGTTAGGCATTTTTCTCAGCAGCTTGCAATAACTCTCCAACGGTTTGCTTCTGTTTTACGACTGCTCGAGTCCCTGTTGAGTGGGTTGTTCTTGTTTCTCGTATGCTCTATACTCTCTCTCTCTCTCTCTCGCTCTGTCGGGCCTTCTGCTCCTGCCTCTCAACCACTCCATCCTTTTAAGCAGCTTCCTCCTTTTTCACAACCTTCTGCTCCTAATGCTGATAGTCTGGAGGTCCTTCTCGGGCGGTTTGCTCGTGTTTCAAAAATGCTCTGTTTCCTTTCGAGCGCTTTGATCATGTACCTCAAACGCTCTTATTGCGTTGGAGCGGCCGGGCTGGGGATTGGTTAAATTCAATGCAAAGATTTGTGGGCGGTTGAGCCACCAGCCAGGAACAAGAATAGACCCGGCACCCAGAAGAAAAGCACGCCCAAACATAAAACAAGTGTCCGCTACGAAAGAGAGCGAGAGGCCATGCTCAAACTGTACCGGGTGCTACTTCCGAGCCGCTGGGTAACTGCTGGCGTCGGACAAGACCTAAACAACAGCTCTCTGCCTCAAGCCACTCTTATGCCCACGGTTTTCGCTGTCCATCTCTAGTACCAAAGTGAGGGGTGCTATACTACGTCGTACCACCATCGCTCACTCTCAGGTATTCCTTCTGCTACTGTTGCTGCGCCTCCTCCCCGCTCCCGGAACTACGAGCACCACCATACCTCTACTTATGCCTTGGTTCATAGCAAGCAATGCAGACGATGCGTTCACAGAATCCTCAAAGCTCGTGGGGGCGGCAACGGCAACGTGCCGCGAGCTTGTGCGGCTCGGAGCGGAGCATCGAAGACCAAAGGAAGTCGGCGTTGCAACAAGCACCTCGAGACGACTCAGGCACCTCTCATGCCTCTGTTTCGTAGAGGATTCTTGTACATGGTCTGTACTTCCGCCAGGTTTGTATGGTCTTCGTGTAAGTTCCCGTAGGGTTAGGGTTGGGGTGTAAAGCTGAGAGTCTTACATCTTGCTCTGTCGGACAAGTGACAAGACCCGAATTGACGAACCTGGAGAATGCGTCCGGCCTTCCGAGCTTCTCGATTGCACGCTTGTGCTCATGGATTATAGGCTATCCATCTAGAAACGCAGCACGACCGTCAAAGAGTATAACCGCACCTCTCCAAATGTCAAACCAAACACCCGATCAGGGTTAATCTGCATGACAACCTGTTTGATTCAAGGGCTCGTTGCATTCATGCTTGATTCAGGTCCTCGAGACCTCGCTGTAGGCTACACCTACCAGCCCTCAACATGAAACGCATACCAGCAACCTACAATTACAAAACTCGAGGAAGAAGACAAGTGCAAAATTCAACAATCATGAGCTCACCCGAGGCCTGGACACGGCCTGAAAACTAATCCCGGCACACTCAGTGACTTAGGGCCGTCGACTGACTGGGGCAACAATAACAAACTCAGGAAAGCCAAAAACTTGACAACCACGGCGTCTTGCACACTCTCTCCACCTGAAACCCGACAGTCTCGGCAGCCGGGCATGTCGCGGCTTCGTCCACGGGGGCCCAGTTTGCGGGACGAATGCCGTGGGCTGCTACGAGAGCCTGCTTAGTGTGGACAGGGTTTCCGGCCTGTTTAACGTTTTATGATGAAATGATGTCTTTCAGAAAAGAAATTCGCCACGGCCCCGGCCGAAGAGATCAAAGGTTCCTATTCGGATTCCCTCTATTCGCCACCTCTTGATGCCCTCTCCCCGCCCGCCTGTTCCTTCCCCCACCCGTTCGCTTCGCTTTCCCTCCATTGTTGCTACCGCTTTTCCGCCATTCTTGCTTTGTTTCTCTTGCTTGCACTGGCTGAGAGCGGCAGCCGTCGATGCGCTGCAAGCCTAAGGTCCTCGACACAAAGCACTGCAAGCACTTTCGTCTTCATTTCCTGACCATGTTCAAACTCGAGTTTCTGAGCCTGCTTTTCACTTTAACTGCGCTTTTGCCTTGTCTCTTTCCTCCGCTGTCCAGCTTTTCCTCGCCTCTCATCACATCCCTTCAGTCTTTCCGCACGACGGTGAGCTGCAGTAAATTGGCACCAGCAGTTCGTTGGCCCTGTTTGTTTGCGGCCGGGCCGAGGCGGACGAAGCGAAGCGTTTAAAGTAATAATGGTAAATACCTCTAAGCAGCGTTTGCAAGAGAGGGTGGAACCTATCCCCTTTAGCGGGCCGAGCCTCTAGTCCAGTTCGTATAATAGGTCTTGTCTTTTCTATGGGTTATTTTCGAAGTGTCTGACCTGCACAGTGCAAGCCTATCCCGAAAGACAGACGGAAGACAAAGCGACCCCTGAATCAAAAAGCGGAGGATCGCCATTACTTGTGCTGTAACGAGGCGTGTTCCTGTTCCGGTCCTTCTTGTGCCGCTACGACAACATATTATTCGGGGTATTCTTCAGCAGATTCCGACTACTCCCGCTGTCAGTATGATTGAAGTTGCTGTCGTACTCAACCTGGCTGGCACCTGACGATAGCCGTCGACGTTGCAAGTTACAGACAACTCAGGACGAAAATCTGAAAGCTCCAACAACACTGCACTGTTGAAGCCTCCTGCAAGCCTTCTCGGTAGCTGTCACCGGAATGATCCTGACCTAGCCCAGCTGGGGATTGGTTCAGAACCAGTGCTTCTCTGGTGTTTGCAGGTGTCTCCAACCCGAAATCGTTGTCGATGGCTTGCAGCTAGATCCTGACTCATAGTTGCATATGCCCTTTATGCCCAAGGTTCCTTATACACAAGATGGCACGGCTGGATTATCGGACTGGCGTTTGGTCATCGCGCTCGTGTTTCGTGTTGGTGCGGCTGAATCAGCATGGGATTGCATGGGCCACGTCTTTTTCCGGAGGACAACTTTTCAGAATGCTGCAGGCCGACCTGCGACACTGCGTATTACAAGTAGTGCCACTGGCACAGTTGGTCCGGCCAAACTTGGCAACTTGCAAGAACAATGACGTATGTGCACTGCAAGCATCGAAGTTTTCTCATGGCTACATAACATCGGCCACCATCTGTGAATTTGGGATATTGGCTGTTTTGGAGTTGGGGCTAGAGAATGAAAACGCTTGAAATTGAAAAGCATGCTTGTCAAGACAGCTGTGCGACTCGCATCCCTGGAGCCTAGGCCATGATGCACTTGGATTCGGTGCAGCACCTTGGCGTTTTCGAGAATCGGTCCGAATCGGTTAAGTTTTTTCCAAGCAACATATGTGTTGCTCGTCCGCCTACCCTGCTGCACTCACTTTCGAATCGGCTTGGGGTCAAGGTTCAGGTTTCGGGGCCCTAAATCCTGAAGCCATAAGCGTGCCTCGTGCGTTGGGCGCCAGCAGAAAAAGACCACATCCACGTGTAGGGTTCCAACTTCGGGGATACTACCACGAAGACAGGGCATATGCACTGAGTGTTGCATGACAAAAAGCTTCCAAGTTACGTCACTAGGTCAAGATTCCGGATTACACCAAGCAATGCTGCACAATGCCAAGCATTTTCGCGGTTGGCGCAGAGCAGTCTCAATTTCGAAGCCTGCAGCATCCCGCAACTCTGTCCTGACGTGTCTGCACCCTGTAACATGGGCTCAACTTGCGCCATGAGCAATGCAAGGACCCACCTCACATGCCTGAGCACTGGAATCAGAACCGGCACCGTCGATTTTCATGCCTGTCCGGAATCAAAGGAGTGATATTCCCAAGACGCAAGCAAATCATTTCTCCTGAGGGTTTGGCAGGGTGGTCACGCCGGATCCACCACCTCCAAGGCGTTTGCTGTCCAAAGCCGAAAGCCACAATCCTAGGCCAGAACCTTGAAACCTTCATCGAAATCTTGAGCACCGGTAAGCCCGATAACTTTATGGCTGTGTTCTATCAGGTTTCAATCGCACAAAGGCGTTAATTGATACTGGCGAAAATAACCATGCCCCCGAAATACATCCCCTGACCGAACAGCCCAACCACAGAAACAAAGCCGCATCCTCCAAGTAGTCTGAGTTCTGGCAGTTACGAAACCAGAACACACTTGAAAGGGTCTAGGGCGGCTTAGGCTGCACACTTGGTTTTGAGGTTCGGCAGCTGTGCCACTGAGGGCCTTCGGGGTTCTGCGTCTTTTTGGGTCCAAGCTGTGCCTGATGCTGGAGGGTAGAGGCTCTGACTAACGAAGGTTTCTCGAGACGATGTATTTAGGGTCGGACTCCACATGCCATACTGACTCTTCATGGTTTGGGAATCGCGGGTTTCGACGCTCCAGGCAACAGCGTTCTTACACTGCTACTGTAACCGAGGGTTTAGGCTCTGATCCATTCAGGATCTGGCCTCAAAACGTCCATTCCGGACCGCCCTGTCATGACTGATGTTCGCCTTGGAAACCCGAATTCCTCACGACTTTGCCCTCCCAAGCTAGACCAAAAACCAACAGAGCAGTTTAAGCACAACGACAAAGAGACCTTACAGCTATCTCAGAGGCTCGGGCGCCCGTCGTGCTCCGCAGTGTCGTGCCAGGTGCAGCAAGCGGCCAGGGGGCAGCAAACGAACCTTGGAGGAAAAGTGGGATTTGTTTAGCCTCCCACCTAGCTAGGATACAGCCCCCATTGCAGGGTTCAGTTGCTGCCTTTACGGTTTATGGCCTCGTAGTACTGAGCTCTCTTCCGAGGGCTGATGGTCATAAGGACCTGTAGGGGCTCGAGGTTCGCATCATGTGTAAGTCTCTCGGATCGCAGAGCTCGTTAAGGCAGCTCATGCTAGAACTTATCAGGGTAAAAAGACCTGAAAAGGTCGCCCTCAGCCGCAGGTTTTGCAGGCCTTGTGCAAAGAGCAATCATCCCAGGCTTGCGACGCTCGTGATCCTGGTCTCGAATCCTTTCGAGAGTCGAGAGTCTCATCTCTACCCTGACCGACAAAGCCTGAATGCCAAGGTGGGTGCTTGAACCCTTGCTTGTACCTGAGGCCGACCTCCCGGTGATTACTCGTGGCATCCCGAGAAGTCACATCTAATGTCATGTATTGCACACGACCTGGCCACCTCAACACCACATGCTAGCGCAGAACGACCTCTTCCGCTTCACAAGTCCCTCGTAACCCCGGCCCAGAAGGTACTTAAGCATTCTCGTTCAAAACGGCGCATCGCTCTGAGCTTTCCTGCTTCTGCAGGGTCCGTCGTGTCCGGCTCAAGATAATCCTGCTAGCAAGGATTCTCGCGGACGATTTCGATGCAGTCTTTTGCTCGTGTTATCTTTCTGTGTTTTTTCATGCCATTCAGAGCCGCAATCCTAGATTGGAGACGGCTTCAATGGAAAATGAAATACAAGCGGTCTTCTCTCAACCCACTACAGTCTTTACAAGTCGCAGCAGTACACTCAGTACAATGTAGTAAATGTTGCACGTTTTGAAGCACTCCAACAAAGTTGAGAACCGAAACTGACGGTTAAGACTAACCGTGCGAATAAAAACCCTTCTGCCAGCCTGACAAACCTTACGTTACGTCATCGCACGTAGCTACTTCTGACTCCCATGTGGCGACTGAAGGATGCTGGGTCCAGATGGGCAGCTGAGGGATTGACTGGGTTTGTTTGGCCTTCGAAGCCTCGAAGCACCAGGCGAATCATTCGGATGTAGCCTACTTTGCAGCACGTAGGCAGTATTTCACAAGCGAATTCACTTTATTCGCCACCCGAAGCTCGCCTGTCCTGACCTTCGTAAACACCTCCACTTCAATCCAAATTGCCCTTGACATGCAGTGAAGGATAAAGCCCCCACCCTAAACCCCAGCGACCTCGGCCCCTGTGCCCCCATGCATACATCCAAGTCAATCAAACTCGGCGGGCGTCCTCTGCAGGGTTGGTAGGGTTCGGACTCTCGTCCCCTGATTCCTGGCCGTAGTCTGGATTCATGGTGAATCTGCTGAACAGTGCTGCAACGGCCCAAGATCCGACTCTAATCCAACGGAATAGCAAATTCACCAGCAAGAGTTGCAACTTCGCAGTGCCTACAAGCTACACGCTCAAGCATGATGGACAACTCCAGGACTGTACGCTCAAAACATCTAATTTGGATAAGTAAAGCCTCTCTGCAAGCACTCGGCTATGCAATGGCGTCACGCAATCCCAAACAAGCGGCCAAGGCACCCTTCGACACAAAACAGCAAGAACCCCCCTTGAAAGCGACGTATACGCGCACACACACGCACACACACACACAAACACACACACACACATTTGCACACAGAAGCAAACATCTATATCTAAATCTAGATCTATATATGTATGTATATATATACACATACATACACATGTGTGCATGCATGCATGCATACATGCACACATACATAAATACACATAAACATGCACATACATATTACACACAGAATATAAATATAAATAAATATAAATATAAATATAAATATAAATAAATAAATATATATATATATACATGTATATATATATATACATACATACACACTCACATATATATATATGTATGTATGTATATACACATATACATAGACATACATACATGCACCATAAACGGGAATCATATGTGTATGCATGTTTGCATGCATGTATGTATGTTTGTATATGAATGAATGCATGAATGTATGAATGCATGCATGTAAGTGTGCGTACACTACATTACATGACACTACACCGCACTAAAACTGCACTACAGTAACTTACATTGCATGCATGCATGCAAGCATGCTTGCATGATGCATGCATACGTGCATGCAGGCATACATGCAAACACATGCATACACGCCCTGTGCATTCATCTGTCTGTCTATCCGTCTATGTGTCTATCTATCAATCTGCCCACCTGCCTATCTATCCGTTTACCTGTCTAAAGCCAATTGGTCAATCTGTCTTTCGATCTATCTAACTATCTACCTACCTACCTATCTACCTACCTATCTCTAACTACATATGTATCTTTACCTAGAACCTAGATGCTATGTGTATGTCTATACCTATATCTATATCCAGTCTATCGGTCTACCTACCTCCCTATCTAGTCTCTATCGAACTATATCTCTGTGAACATATGGCGAGCTTCCAACACGGATGTTCTGCAGTGGTTCGAACCAGACATAACTTAACTCTTCCATATTACTGGCGGCGAGAACCCTGGATGCCACATTCATCCTGGCAAGACTAGATGAACACGGCAAGCGCGACATTCATACAACCATCATCATCATCGTCGTCGTCATCATTGTCACACAAGTGTCCCTGTCATGGTCGCCCGATCACCATGGCTGTCGTTCGTCTTTGGTTCTGCGCTATAGGTGCCGTACGTCCAAGCAGTACACGGCCTAAAGCATTTCATCGCAGTTCCAACACCTGCTGGGGATGTGCCTGCCAAATTACACCACAAGCAGCACAGCACAACCGAGTGCACAACAGTCATAGCAGCAACCGCAGTAGCAATCAGAATCGGCACAGTAGCAGGCAGCAGGAAGCCGACGATGATGAAACCGACGACTGGACACCATGGTTGCCATGATACTGCGACTCGGCAATCCGACCAACAGGATCAATGCACTGACGACGATTCTGACTATTGACACGGTGGCATGTCTTCCTGGGGACATCTGACTCATGTTCAGCTGTTCTCCAGTGGAGCTGTCAGCTGTGCTCGTGGATGCGTGTTTTGATTGCGAATCATGGCAGTCCCGGCAGCTGTCGGGAACTGTTGCAATGTGTGTTGCCACTCCTGATGTTGGGTTGCAGCACTATGCCGTATTCCTCGATTCGCCGCAGTTGTAGTGTACTCCAGCAGATTCGAAGAAGTGCGCTCACCCACAGCACTGTCCAAGAACTGCAAGGCCCCTCATTCGACATCTTGGCTTATCTCAATGCAGACAAGCATGCCTAGCTTGCAGTGCAGAATTACGAAGCCGCCAAAAACCGAATCCTAAACTGTCCCGAGTACCTGGAGCCCTTGAAAGCACATCTTCAACTGGAGCGAACTACTCCCGGATCTGGATTTGGCCTGCGCCCGAACGCAGCAAAGGAATCCTCCTTTCTTCGCCTCGTGATCGGCCATTGGTTGCCACAGCCAAAAAACGTAACATGACTCATAGCTATGTGTGTGAGATTCTTGGAGTGCTGTGTGTGTACATACATAATATACATACATATGTATGTATGCAAGTACGTATGCTTACAATGGCTGCTACACAAGCTTTCCAACCAACACGGCAGGGATTAAAGAGCCTGACTCCCGCAGTTGAACATGTTTTCGTGGGATCCTTTAACTACCTGTGTACCCGAAGTCCAAGCAACAGCCCACTGTCAAGATGTCATCCCCGAGCATTGGCAGGAGCCAAAAATCCCTCAATCCACACGACAAATCTGACCTGCTTGACAGTGGTCTTCCTCGAGAAACTGGAATCCGCAAGCAAAAGCGATATCCTGAATTTGCTCTTTGCAAATATCTCGCTTTTTGTCTTGAGCCTGGCCTTCCGGGCTCCTACTCAGGACATCTCAGGACCACTACCCAGCAAGCATTAAACTACGCCAACCCCGATCGGCTGAGCGATCTGGAAATTGCAAAGGAAGTAAGGATTTCGCTCGCTGCTGCGAATGGTTTCACATAAAATCCAAGCGGCAGAGAGCTTCAAGGGGGAAACCCCGGACAGGCATCGGAAACTGGTTATGTCGGATTGCATTCGGAGTCTCCAGTCCCCAGCTTGCAATCCTGCCTTGGCCTTTGAAGCAGTACTGTTCGCTCCACCGGCCTGTCCGGGGGAGTCGAAGGTCGTGTCAAGATACTCAATACACCAGGCTTCAGAATTTGAGATTTTTTTGATGGGTTGAGGATGCAGGCTGGCTACCGGTGCGGGGGAGCCCGTTCATTCTACTACTACTACTACTACTACAACAACAACTACTACTACTACTACGCCTCCTCCTCCTCCTCCTCCTGCTGCTGCTGCTGCTGCTGCTCCTGCTACTGCTACTGCTACTGCTACTACTGCTAACTACTAATACTCCTACTGCTACTCCTATTAGTAGTAGTAGAAGTAGAAGTAGAAGTAGAAGTAGAAGTAGAAGTAGAAGCAGAAGCAGAAGCAGAAGTAGAAGTAGAAGTAGAAGTAGTAGTAGTAGTAGTAGTACTACTACGACGACGACTACTTCTTCTTCTTCTACTACGACAACGACTACGACGACGTCGTCGACGACGACTACGACTACGAGTACGACTACTGCTACTACCTCAGCACCCCGTGATACCCACCGTAAGTACAGGCAGGCCTGCTACATGCATATCGAAGCCAACAGCATGGCCCTCTTTGTCGCCACAGCACATCTTCAGCTTTGGACGATTGATGCTGCCAGAGCGGCGCCGAAATTCCGCGGACTCTGCTCCCTAACCACACCGGAACTTTGTCAAACTCGCTCATCCCCCTACAGACCTTAGCTGTCAATTTCGTGCTAACCGAAAAAATCCTGTTTTCCTTGACACTATTCAGTCGCCAACTCTACAAGATAATGCAGACACGGGAGCATGCATTGATTACCCCGCATCGTTCAGCAAATTTGCAATCTTCTCGTACTCATAACCGATTGAAGAAGTACTACCCGCACGGGAGAGGCGGAGTCCAACTGAGGCAGTTGTGCGCATTGTGCGCAAAACTGAGGTGAAACTCTCTGCATGGGGTGAGTGAATTCATCGTTCCACAACCGTGGCGACATGTACTGAGGCCGTGAGAACACCCGCTGTCCTAGTACAGCAAATGTCTCCTTGTATGAACCGTGGACATGAACAGTCTCTCATAGAAACGGGGACTGAGTAAGATGAACCGTTTTGAGTGCTTTATGCAGTCGAGACTGTCCACAGAATCCGCAGGTTCAAATACTCCTTCTGTTGCAGACTTGGGTCAAGTGTGATGCGTCAAAACACGGACATACGAAGGAGATGGATGACTAGAATTCAATGGGGTGCCTTCGACCCCTTTCCTTTCCGGGTCAATACTTGCACAGGAACACTGCGAAGCTTGCGGGTGGCTGCCATGAACCTGGGAGCGATACGGCTTGGAGTTGTTCAAGCTTCGAGGTTCAAGTCGAAGGCTGGGCCCGGCTAGGCGGCTAGGCTGGTGGGGGTATTCAATCTACACGAACTTTCAAAACATCGCACTGATGCCTGGGGCCAAGGAGACTCTGGACACCGCGGGAGCTGTCATGTTCAGGATGTTTGGGTTGAATGCAAGTCGACTTCCTCGGCGCATACGCCTTAAAACGTTTCATGGGCTACAGGGCTACACTGGAAGCCAACGGGGCAAGTACGTCCAACATCTCTAGCTCTGGCGTGCACAATCCCTTGCAATGGAAATCGTCAGCACATTTGCCAGCCCGAACTGCGGGCAGAGTTTTCGCGTCCGCATCAGCATGAAGGGTTATGGTGCCCTGAACCTTGAACCCGGACCTCGGGCCCTTTCCTTCGCCCACCTGAGCGAGCATGAACATGGGTTAAGGCAACAGTCGTCACAGAACGATAGAATCCAGAGGGTACTCCGTTAAACCGTTAAGCCATGTGTAATAAGCACAAACCTTTTTGATACACAGAGGGCTTGAGTATAGGTCGCGGTAAACACCAACATGTGATGACTGCGCACGGTTACATAGAATCCTATGCCTGGTACGATGCAAAACAACAACCCCCCTCACAAAATGGCACGGTCGCTCGCATACGATGGAAAACAAAGTGATGAGCCTGAAGGTGGAAGGGTGCCAAGGCGGCGGCGCAGGGCAGCAACCGGCGTGGAGTTGCCTCCCGCATCATCGTGTTTGGGAGCTAGGCTCTAGGTTACGCGACCAGGAAATGGTGCCTCTGGGGGTTGTTGCAATGAAACTGCAACACAACTTTGATGCAAAAGATCGCTCGAGTCGGCGATGTAGCGACCAGTCAGTTCGCCGCACAGTGGTTCAACAAGTTATGCGCCACCGGGTGTGAACATGACTACATGCTATGCGGAAGTTGGAGAAATACTTCCTCGATTGAATCGAAAGAGTGCGGGCTCCTAACTGGAATCAGCGCCAGCTCCAGCCCCGCCATCCGGACCAGTTGTTCCACCACGATCAGTCGCTCCATTCGCGGTCGCTCCAAGTCCAGCTGCGGTCTTCGGCCTCGTCTCTCGGCAGGCGTTGGTACCCAGCGGACTGTTTGCCGGTCTGTTTCGTGCCCTTGCCCGTGCTCTTGCCTTTACCTGGCGTACTTGAGCTGGGCACGGCGTGAGCATTCAGCATCGTCTTCGACAGCAGCGACTGCGTATACAAGATCATCACGAAGTGCAGCAGCGAGGTCATTGGAAATTAGAAATTGTGACAATGTCGTTCCCGCACACATCAACCTGACCGTTTGAAGGCGCACGTCATACTGGGAACGTGCCACGTTCTTGACAAAATCCTGGAAGCTGAGAACAGCGCCGTACCACGTGAGGCCAAAGGGGACCAACGTCCACACGTGTGGTCTCGCGACGCCGAGCTCCTCGCCAATGTTGTTGAAGTGATTCAATCAAACGACAGTGAGGAATATCGTCGCGCTGATAGCCGGCGTTCTGGCTCACGGAAGCATTGGAGCCGACAGCCATTCGCCTTGGCGTTGTCGTGGCGCGACCAGGATTTGGCCAGTGGGCGTACTTGAGGTAGTCCATGATTCGCGTTGAACGACGTGTCATCCCAAAGGCGGTGTAAGGGAGCATGCATAAACATTGTCGCGGTTGAACCGATCGATCGAGCACGGACGCATACCCTTTCATCTTTGCCTTGTTCAATGCCAGGCTGGCTTTGCGGATCGCTTCACTTCGAAGGACGCCATGCCTCGTCCGGTGAAGTCTTTCGACGCGCTCTTGACTTTGGCCAAAAACACCCTTGGTGTATCGTTATCCGCTGCAAGCTGGTCTATCAGGGCTTCACGACCACGTGCAAGAGCAGTGCGACGGTTCTGCGATTTTAGAGAGATCCCGGCTTCACCGGCCCACCGCATTCGATTCAATCCATCTGGCCTTCCAGGCAAAGGGCTGCGCAGTGGCAGCAAGCAACACGCTCGAGGAAAGCGCTGGTAGGCTGGTCCTCCGTCCCGCCGTAGTGGATGGGCTCTGACTCTGGCGGCTTGACCTTCTCGCTGTAGGTCTCCACAGGCACGCCATCAGCATCATTCACCACATGTGTAGCAGTTGTGTTGCTAATATAAGAAGTCGATGTTGTGAGGCTGGACGGGGTGATGAGCGTGCCATCCTCAATAGTCGGCCTCTCCGCTACGGAGGGCATTGACTCATCGGCCGCTTCTTGTCCACCCCCGGTCTTTCAATTGGACTTCACTTGGCGGGACTGCATTGGTGATAGCCAAGCTTCCTTCGGGTGCAGCAGGAAGCGCGGGCTTTTTCCCCATCGTCACCAGGCTCATCAGCAGCAGAACCTTCTTGATCCAAAACGATGTCGATGGGTTCATCGGCTTTGGCTTTCGCCCGGCCTTCATCGCCCCGTGCCAGGATCGTCCGTTGCGTAGGCCCCCCCCCTGTCCGCGACCAAAGATTGATACCCTTAGTAAGATCGTCATTGGTGAACAGCATGGTGAGGAACCCTTCTGATTTCGTCACGAAGATCTCGCACCCCGCCTCGAGCATCTCTTTAGTGTCAAAAACATTCTCGACGGGCAGGCCGGCGCGGACGCCGGACTTCGCCTTCTGAACCTCAGATGGGGTTCCTGAACAGCAGCGAGCCTCATCCCACTGCCCCGATGTCCTGGAATCATCGCATCCTCCAGGATAGAAAAGGCTGCGTCCTGGGTGGTTCGATAATTGCCCTTCCAGATGGCTAGGCGTCTATAAAGAGCTCGTGGTTTGGGAGCTCGGAACTTTTGAGTCTTTTGAGGCTGCAGATTTCGAAGACTCTACCGAAGTGCGCTTTCTGGCCACTTCGCCTCACCTCCTGCTGAACATCCTCAAATTCTCTAACCTGATTTTCAATCCAACAATAAGCCTTGCAAAGAAGTTTCTGCCACTCTTTGTCCATAGCCTGTTGAGCCTC